ATATAATCTTTATTGAATATTTTCATAACGCAATATAGCTTAAAATCTTTTTTAAAACAGTCTAAAATAGAGACCAGAAAAACAGAATACAAAAGGAACAAACAAAAATCAAAGGAAAGAAGAAAAAGAAGAAGAAGAAAGAAAAGAAAGCAGAGAGACGAAGAAAACGAGAGAGAGAAGTGTTAATTTTCTTCGGGCCAACTTCTGGGATACTTCGAAGAGGGCTTCTTCCTTTTCCTTCTTCTGTAGGTTTTTCGGCTCTCCATTCTTTCTTTTCTTTTTCTTTTTTTGTCTTATTTTTTATTATTAGTGAGCCATTTCTATACTTATATATGTCCTATCTCTTATATCTTATTTTAAATATTCATTTATCATTTTCCAGTCTGTCTCTTTTTCTATTTTCCCTTTATATTTTTGTAATATGTAGCTTAGCCTGTCCATGTTTCTTCTGTCCATAATTTTTTTATTCCAGTCTTCAATTGTAGGTATTTCCTTTTTTAGCCATAACCTCGCATAGCAAATTCTAGCAGCGGTTGTGGAAAGGAATCGAAGTTTGCCTGTGTTACTCTCAAGTTTTTGATCCGTAATTCCCAGTAAGAATATTTCGGGTTTAAGAGGTATTTTAATCTTCAGTATTTTTGGTATTTCCTTCGCAGCTCCAGGGGTTCTTGGACGAAACTGATTATCTGGATCCATCACAGTTGGGTTTACGACAGCCATGGTCGCCTTAGTGAATGATTTCCGCAGAGAGCTCAAAAGGGGGAGTGTGTCCCTTGTTGGTTCTCCTGGACCTCTCAGCGGCCTTCGATACCTTCTGGGGCGCCTCGCAGGGATGGGTCTTGGAGGTCCTGTTTTGCAGTGGCTCCAGTACTTCCTGGAGGGTCGTACCCAGAAGGTGTTGCTGGGGGACTCCTGCTCGGCCCCACAGCCATTGTCCTGTGGGGTCCCGCAGGGCTCAGTATTGTCCCCCATGTTGTTTAACATCTACATGAAGCCGCTGGGTGAGATCATCCAGAGTTTTGGAGTTCGATGGCATCTGTACGCAGATGACGTCCAACTCTATCACTCATTTCCACCAGACGCTAAGAAGGCTGTCCAAGTCTTGAACCGGTGCCTGGCCGCTGTTACAATCTGGATGAGGGCGAGCAAATTGAAGTTGAATCCAGGCAAGACAGAGGTCCTACTGGTCAGTCACAAGACCAAACAAGGTACAGGGTCACAACCTGTGCTGGATGGGTCACACTCCCCTTGAAGGCACAGGTTCGCAGCTTGGGGGTCCTCCTGGACTCATCACTGAGCCTGGAATCCCAGGTTGCAGCGGTGGCCAGGGGAGCTTTCGCACAATTAAAACTTGTGCGCCAGCTGCGCCCGTACCTTGGGAAGTCAGACTTGGCCACGGTGGTCCACGCTCTCGTTACATCCAGGATAGACTACTGCAATGCACTCTACATGGGGTTGCCTTTGAAGACTGCTCCTAAGCTTCCAATAGTCCAACAAGAGGTTAATAACTGGGGCGGCACACAGGAAGCATACAACTCCCATGTTACGCCAGCTCCACATGCTGCCAGTTTGCTACCGGGCACAATTCAAAGTGCTGGCTTTGGCCTATAAAGCCCTAAACGGCCCCGTCCCAAATTACCTCCCTATGAACTATCACAGAGATTAAGATCCTCTGAGGAGGCCCTGATTTCCGTCCCGCCATTGTAACAGGCACGACTGGTGGGGACGAGAGACAGGGCCTTCTTGGTGATTGCTCCCTGGCTATGGAACTCCTTTCCTGGTGCAATCAGGTCAGCCCCCTCCCTCCTGTCCTTTAGAAGGATGGTAAAAACTCGGCTGTGGGACCAAGCTTTTGGGACAGGGCAATAAAGCAGCAATAAGAAAGATTACCAGGCCAATTAAATTTGACGTGGATGACTATGACGGTTTTAAATGGTTTATTTTAATATTTTGATAGATGTTTCTAATGTTTATGTATGTATATAAGAATTTGTGTCCTGGCATTGAATGTTTGCTGTATATATGCAGTTCTCTGCCGGGAATCCCCTTTGGGGTGAG